ATTTGGAAATGCTGCAGTGAGTATAACTGTCTCCACCAATGGAGTTTGGACTCCCTTAAGAAATCACACTGAGGTTCCCAAATCTTAGGACCCAAAGGGAGAGAGGGAGGGAGGGAGGGAGAAAGGGAGAAGAGAGGAAGAAGAGAAGAGAGGAGAGGAGAGAGAGAGAGAGAGAGAGAGAGAGAGAGAGAGAGAGAGAGTACTGTGCATGCTCTCCTGATATTGACTTAAACTTCCTTACAAACAAGGGACATTTCCATCTTTTGTTTTCATAGCACAGGAACTGAGACTCTGGTTTCATGTACTTTTTATGTCCCTATTGTCCAGAAGGACTGAAAAAGTGCATTTTTGGTGTGAAAAACTCCTATCCCCTCTTTGCATATCAGTAATATTGAAAAGCTAAGTTCTAGACAGTACTGATGAATTTACCCTTCATGGGCTATGAGGTGGCTCTCATCAGCTGTCCCTGCTGTGGATTCTCTTTTGTCTCTTTTGTATGTTTCCCTGGTCAGCCCCATCTTCACACAGCCCAGCCAGTGTATGTCTCCTCAGAAGAGCAGTCAGGGGCCCATGTAGGTGACTGAGGAGGACATAAGAAAGGTTGTAGATCTCCTGACATGTAAAGACATTCTGTCAAGCAGACTCAGCCACAGAGAGGCCGGGCTTCTGGTCTGTAAACAGAGACTTCTTAATTACACAGGTCATGTCAATTAGTGTGACCCGAGTGTTCTAAAAAAATTAATCACTTTCTGAAAAGCTTAGGCAGTGTGGCATAAGCCTTGAGAAAACCTAGTACAATCCCTTTTTTCTTTTTTGAATAATGGATGTTTTCTTTTTGAAATCCCTAGGTTGTGGTTAAGGTAGCATATTTGCTTAAATACAACAGTGGATACAGGCTTCATTTAGTGGTGGTGCGGATGGGGGAAGGGGGAAGGAAAGGGGATAAACTAGGGCTAGAAGCAGCCCATGACACAGAGAGCAATTCAGTGTGAGTAAATGAGCCCATCTCTCTCTCTTGACAGTAAAAAGATGCTAATGTTAGGGGAACACGTCAAAGCCATGTCACAGTCTGGTTTTTAACTGACAGGAGCCAGACAATTCACAGTTAAGATTTAAATCTTTAGCCACCGTTTTCCTTGTTGGGACTGGCAGATGAGAGCAGTGAAGGAGGAGCAAGAATTGGGCTAAAGTTGTCATCCTAGTAAAAAACCATAAGACTCGGAGACTGAAGTAACATATAAATTTACAAATTCATCTTCTTCCCTCAGCAAAGTTTTTTGATAGGCTATAACTCTGCATCTGTATATAAATGCTAGATCTATGACAACAGTATATATGAATATAGATATAAGATATATTCTCTCATTCATGTGAGCAAGCACTCCGCAGTATTTATTAGAGCACTAGATGCTAAGACTATAATGAGGAATGCAAAAGACAGAGTCTTTGCTGTAATGAAACTGATATTTCAGTTGGGGGTTATTTTAGGGCAAGAGTAGCTGCTATAACACATAGACCAAATAGTACTTAATGGCTCACATGTAGAGTAAAGAATGTCTAAGATCTCACATATAATAGGTACATGCTGGTGTTCCTTACTGCTTTGAAGAATAGACTTTTTTTTTTCCTAGAAATGCTCTGGGCCCCTGGCAACTCTTGATTTTATGCCTTCCCAATTATGAAGAGCCTGATGTATTCATGGAGCCAGAAAAAAGGTGAAGGATACATGAAGATAGTTCATGATGTCTTCAAATTCTTGGCTTAGAAATAGTCCTTGTTAAACCCGGTCACTTCCTACAGGCGAGTAATCGGTTACATGGCCACTATAGCCAGAGGCGTGTCAATGATACAGCCCAGGAAGGAGAGAAAGTGAATGTATAAGGAATGAGTTTCTATTAGTTGTCACAATGAAGATATGTAAAGATTAAAATTTGTAAATAATTG